TGTTGTAAGACTGTAAATGAAAATTTTCATTACTGCAGAAGTAACTATTTTAAACAACAAGACAATGAACAAGTAAATATTCAGACAAGAGTGAAAATTTAGGAAAAAAAAAAAATGAAAGTTTTCTATGACCTCTAAGTGCATTCAGCATTTCTGCAAAGGGAATGATATTCAGGTTGGTTACATTTGTCAAGCTCTGATTTTTTAGCAAAACTGTGCCTTTCACAGAGTAGAATTTCTAAAATAAATGCCATCAGATTGAACTGCAAGACTCCAAAGTGTATGTTTTATTTTGAGCTGAGTGGAATTATATTCCCGTGTTTTAAAATTCTTCCTTTCTCATTCTGCAAGTTCCAGAAATGTTCCCAAAGGTAAATTCTGTGCCTTGAAGAGCTGAGTTCAGGATGCAAGAGACCAGGGGGCTTGTTCCAGATCTCACACGACACCGTCAGCCATGCTATGTTCGGCTCCTAGGTGCTGATGAAAATATATACCGCCCCCCCCCCCCCCCCACACACACACACACACGGAGGAGTCCAAAATCTACAGTCAGCTGAAGAACCCTTCGAGATGATTTAAGATCGCCCACGAAGCCCACGTCAGCAAGTGCCCCAGGATGGGAGGGGATGACTATATTAGGTGTGGAAAGTGTGCCCGCGTCTCTGCCCAGGCCTCTGGAGCCTGGACACCCTCTCCAAAGGTACCCGGCATTTCAAGGTGACAGAAAGTACACAAACACGCCCCATAGCAAATAACCATGGTTAGGGCACAACTGAGTGAGCCTGCACCTGGCACTGCCACTGAGAACCAGCAAACACGGGCTTCAGGACAGCATTTCTCAGTGGGGGGGATGGGACAAGGAAACCACAAAGAAAGCTCTCCAGGCAAAATCTTCCCACGTGAAGAGGACAATCTCCACACTTCCGGGTCCCTTCAGAGGATGGGCTCTGGGAACCTGAAGCTCACTTGTCACCCAGGTCCCCGCTGGCTGAACACCTGGCGGCACTGGGGCAGCGCCCAGTGTTCCAGCCCTGGCGAACACAATCGAGACTTTTCTTTAAACCCACAAGCTTCTCCCAGAGGTCCAAGAACTGCTGGCTTAGTCCCCATGTGCTGATTTAGGTGAGTCACTGGGCGATTCACCTGTGCGGCAGGTTCCTTGGGTCCAGGCACAATGCCAGGTAATCATTTTCCGAGGTAAAAAAAATGACTTCTCAAGTTCAAAACCTCAAATCCCTTCCACAATCACCCAGCCACAACCCAGGAGCCAGGACCACGCCAGGAATTTCAAACACCCCTGTGTTGCCCGAGGCCCAGAGCACAGCGCACGGAGCTGCCTTCCCCGCGGGAAAGGACGTCCTGGCTTCCAAGACTAGATCTATATGCTTTGGCAATCGTGTGGCAAAGAGAGAGCCTGTCCCCATCCAGTGAGATCTGGGAGCCCAGGCTGCTCTCCTGATCACAAGAGAACATCCCACCTCTACCTGGAGGGTCTGCTGGCAGAGACACAGCATGACAGAGTCCCCATGATCCTATCCACTCCAGAATAGCGATCCTATCTACTCCAGAACTCTGCTGAGGCCCCATGAAATGCCTCTCTGACACAGCTACTCCTCCCTTCCTCCTAGATGACCACGACAGTTACACCTGTTGCAACACTGTTAATGGGAACCGTCTGTCACCTGTGTGGCTGGTCCCTGCCCTACCTGGCACTGTCCAATGAAACCAAAGGAGACATATAAACAAACAGCTAAGTTACACGACAAAAGGAAGGCTTCAGGACCTTATGTAACAGCCATAACATCAAGAGTCTCTAGAGGGGTGAAGCTTCTTACAGTCAACTGATAAGAAGGTGTTTGCAATAAAGACAAGAGATTTTTTAGAAAATAATCAACCGTGGCTAATGTACACTTGCTGTCACCCACTCCTGACCAAGCAGGAAGTCAAGATGTGCAGAAACCTCTTGTCCTACTCTCTTTGTGGGGCAAGGCCTTACTCAAAAAAGAGTTCTGTATTAAAGCAACATATAAAAGATTAACCCTAGCTGGGCACAATACCCCATTCCTATAATCCCTGTGGCTCGGGAGGCTGAGGCAGGAGGATCTCGAGTTCAAAGCCAGCCTCAGCAACTTAGTGAGGCACTAAGCAACTCAGCAAAACCCTGTCTCTAAATAAAATATAAAAAGGGCTGGGGATGTGGCTCTGTGATTAAGTACCCCTGTGTTCAAGCCTCAGTACAAAAAAAAAAAAAAAAAGATTAACCCTAACCCCACCAATTTGATATATTAAAAGTAAAGCATGGAAGGGTAGAAGGGTGATGCAGAAACACATGGACAGCAGAAGCCTTCTGAGGCCAGCTCTCAATGCTGCAGGTCCTCTCCATGGAGGGATTAGGGAATCAGCTCAGGCAGGAAGGTGGAGGTGCTGATCGCGTGTAAGGCACAGCTGGGGTTGTTAATCATTTGCCAAGCGGCCTCTCTTTAGGGCCCTAACTGCAACCTGCACACTTACTAATGGACAGCTGTATTTGGGCATTAAAATATCTACTATCCTAACACCGAGAGCTGGTTGCACCTTCTTGGTGGACAGAAAAAACATATGGGAAGGACAGAGGAGAACTCCAGTATGGTGATTCCCTCTGGGAAGGCAAAGAGGAGGAAAGGAGAGAGGAGTACAGGCTGCTAAGCTGGTCTGTCTAAAACCCCGGTGGAGCCCAAAGAAAACAGGTTAAACTGTGAGGATGTGTTCAACCTGGGGGGTGAGTACAGCCATCAATGACCTCTACTTATTACTTTTTACCTTTATTTATTACTTTTCTGTATATGTCAAATACCTGATAACAAACTAAGGTAAAATTTATGTGAAAGGAGATGTAAAAAACACAAAGGAAATGCAGGTAGATACTTCAGCAATGTTAGGTGACAAAGTCCAATCACACTGCTTTGATGAAACGAAGTGCCAAAACAACACAACAAACACTCGAATCCAATTGGGAACACTCAAATCCAAGGTACATGTGTACCCATGGGACGGCCTGCTTTGTCATTTTACACTTTACCTTGAGAGAGCTCCTTGAAACCAACTTTGTCCTCAGAAGGCACATCAGCTGGTTGGCCCTTTCCCAAGTGAAAACACACGCCCACAGGACGTCCAGCTGCACCGCACGTGCTTACTAAAGAACAGCAGACTCCAGGAGGCATACCCGTGCCAGCCTCGCTGTCAGTGCTGCAGCTAGGCCGGCCCAGAGTGCAGCTGCCACTCAAAGGCCGATGCTAACACACTCAGCTGCTGCCAGAGAAGGCAAGAGAGCAGTCCTGTCCATGTCCTCTACAAGATGCGCCACACAGACCATGACTGTCCGCTTTGAGCTGCCTAATACACCAATTCTGTGGATAGGTGTTACCACCTCACCACAAACAAATCATAAAACACCACAGAAACTGCAAAATCTTAGCAAAGAGCCAAGTCTGCAAACTCTTAGCAAAGAGCCAAGACATTTTGCTATGTTCACACGACATTTCTTTAAAACTTGGAAGCAGATACTCATCAAAGTACAGATTTCTGGGCCCGAAGACCTAGCAACATGGCTCCCCAGTATGGACCTAGGCTGAGCTAGGCAGGAGCTGCTGGATTTATGCAAGGCCTGCCCACCGCAGCCCTATGGCTCTCAGGACCCCACACCACAGCACCACTCATCCATACGCCTGCTACCGTGGGGGCACCAGACTCTTCTTAGAACAAAATTGGGAGGTAGGAGGGAGATAGGACTTGGTTTATACAATTTTCAATACTAATATCAGTTGGAAGAGGGATGGCGGATGGAACAAGAAGCTGTCCCCACCATTAGTATTGACGCATGGTCACGGCCCTGGCTGTACGGCTTAAGACATGAGTCCTCTTCCTATACTGGTGGGTTCCCTAAGTACATGAGATTCCTGGTGGTGAGCGACCGTCACTGCAGCTCAGGAGAGCATGGTCTCTGCCAGGACAGTACCTGAGGACTCTGGGGGTGAGCAGGCTTGTTTCTGATGTCATGTTCCCACGGCCCAAGCCAGCCAAGCACTATCAACTTGCAAATGCATTAGATCTCCACAAATGCTTTGCCCAAACCCATCAGATGAATCAGGCATCACACTGCCACATTCTGTAAGCTAGGAGGAAAATAAATTATGGCAAAAAGATGTTTGATGCAAAAAGGAGAAATTACTCATCAACCCAAAAGTAAGTGTCAGATACACACACACACACACACACACACACACACGATGAAACATTCAGCCAGGTGTGGTAGCGGACACCGCTAACTTCAGCAGCTCAGAGGCTGAGGCAGGAGGATAACGAGTTCAAAGCCAGCCTCAGCAACTTAGCAAGGCCCTAAGCAACTCAGCAAGCCCCTGTCTTTAAATAAAACATAGGGCTGGGGATGTGGCTCAGCAGCTGAGTGCCCCTGGGTTAATCTCTAGTACCAAAGGCAGAGAAAAACAAAGATGGAACATTCATTAATTAACCTTAAGAAAATATAGATGTGTCTATTTCAAATGAGATGTCCAAGGAAGAACTGTAATAAGTATCCTATTTTGCATAGGTAATTCATATACATACATACAGCTACGCAACACACATGTATACAAATATAGACAAGCATACATGCAGATGCACATATACATGAGGACAGCCATGATTATGACAAAGCTCAGGAAGCACGGAATTATCACCACATATACACTGTACAGAAACAAGGAAGAAAAGATACAGTGTAGAAAGCTTCCAGAGTCCACAGAACCCTAGTCCTGAGGCTCCTCGCCTTATCAAGACCTAATTTTCCTGTTCAAAGTTCGCATTCTCACTATCGCCTGTGGAGTTTCGAGAAACATTTCCCAATCTGCAAGGTCCTTCTCCTTAGAGATCTGGGATCACGGACAGGCAGAGTAAAGGCCATGCCGCTGCAAATCTCCACAATGGTTTCCCCCTCTCAGAAGGGACAGCAGATGGACACTTACCGCAGAGAGCTGGCTCCAGGTGGACCTCAGTGGCTTATGGTGAATCACAAGCCTCTCCTCCGACTTCTGTTCTCGGGGCTCCGACTCTTCATCAGAATCAATGTCCAGAGCCTTCTCTTTGTAGTTCTGATACAGGACCGCATTTTCTACAAGAAAAAAAGCCCGAAGTGTCACTGCTGCCCCAATCACTACTACTGTTCTAAACAAACCTCCAAATTTCACACCACTTGGTCTCTGGTCTAATCAACAACAGATAAAAAAAAAAAAAAAGCCGATTTGTCACTGAAGAAAAATACATGACATTCCAACTGAAGCCAGTTTCCATATCCCTGTCCATGACTCATGGAAAACAGTCTCTTAGGTCACTTTACTCATATCAGGTTGATGCGTGAACCGTGCATTCTCCAAGGTCCACCACCGTTCATTCACCTGCTCACTGTCATCTACCCAGCACTGGGGTCTGACGGTAAAATGGAAAACAAGACGCCCAGGTGAGCTGATTTAGTAAGAAAACAGTCCTGTTCACTCATGCATCTACACACTCAACTGGCATTTACACAAAGCCCATGGGCACCAGCAACTGGCAGGTCTACAACAAGGAACAAAGATTTCTTCAAAAATCTCAATCTTCATGGAGCTGACATTAAAGTGAGAGAGCCCTGCAATGCGCAAGCAAGTAACTGCTACAGGATTTCTGAAGTAGTTGTCATGCAGAAAAATAAAACATGAAAGGGGGTAGGAAATGCTGGGAAAACAATATGCAGATTTTAAGTAAGGTGGTTTAGGAAGGCCTCACACAGGTGACATTTAATCCAAGGCATAAAAGAGAGAGAAAGCAAGCCACACTACAGCTGGGAAAGAGCATCTCACCAGAGGAGCAGCAAGGACAAAGGCTCTGGGGTGAGTCTGCTTGGTAGGTCAGCATGCGGGAGGAGCAGGGAGGCCAGGCTCTGGAGCAAGAGGAAACAACACCTCAAAATCACTAAAGGGGGTCAATAAGATGGGTCGGCGGCTTGCCTAGGAGTCACACTGTGCAAGGAGGGTTTACAGAGACCAGCCAAACAGTCCAAATCACGCAGGGCTTTACAGCAGTGTCAGAGAGCTGGGTTTGACCCAGAGTACAAAAGGACCGAGTTTCTTTCACACTGTGCAGAATACAATGGAGCCGCTGGAGGAAAGCCTGCTTAGACTGCAGAGCAGCACTGACTACCCCAGAGACTAGCCAGGATGCTTTAGGGGTATCACTGCTGATGGCGACCTGGGCTGTGTGGTCAAGAAGGATGGGCGATAGCCTGGACATGGGACACAGAAAGGGAGGCATCAAGGACATTCCTAGGTCTTCAGGTCCCACGACTGGGATGCAGGAGATGGGAACACCAGAAGAGATTCAAGTTCAGTGGGGATGACTGTGAGTGTGGCTTGGGGCCCAGGGAATTTGAAAGGCTTTCTTTGCTACCAAGTCAAGCAAATACCTGCCTCTTCTCCTACCAACTGCAGACAGCCCCCAGGCACTGTCTTAAGTAGCTGGGGTCTAAGCAAGATTTTAGTTTCAGTCTTCTGCACAGGAGAAACAGGTATGTAAAACTGGTTCCCCCCCCCCCCCCAGGCTTGAAAGCACTTAGTGGCTGGCAGAGGGTCTGTGCCTAGCCTTGTTGATGGGAGTCCCATTCCTTCTCACTCAACATGACAACAGGAATCTTACACTCAATTCACACAGGATGAAACTGGGGCTCAGTGAGGATAAGGTTCTCATTCAGTGTCACTCAACTGATGAGCAGAAGCAGGAGGACAGAAACCCAGTGTCACAGGTTCTCACGCTGGAGCACACCACCTCCTGATCTGCAGACTGGCTCCTAATTAACTGTTGAGAATCCTGCATTCTTTGTGTGCGCATATGAGAAGTGGCAAGAAACAGCTTTTTGTGAAAGGAAATAGGATAAAGCTGGTGACAATGATGATCTGCCCTCTGATTTTTAAAAACCTCAAAAAATGGAGCTGAGGCAAAGATCACACCATCAATATCAAATTTCAGAAGATGTGAAGCCCCTCCCTGGGTAGGTGTTGGACAGGTGCCCTGCTCACCTCATATCCGCAGTGGTACAAGAGGCAGAACCTGCTACCTAGTACTGGCTACTACCAGCTGTGGCACAGGGCACAAGCTGATAAAGCTCTGCGTCTCCAGTTTCCTCAATTATGAAATCAGAGAAATGAACTTTTACTAGCTAATACACTATACCTGGGTTTCTTCTCCACATAGCAATTGTTCTCTAATAAGATTGGTACGATGAGAAGATTTTATAAATTAGTCCTTTTTAAATGTTACAATGTCAAACCCAACTTTCTAGAAAGTATACAGGCTGCTGGGCACAGTGGCACATGCCTGTAATTCCAGTGACTGGGGAGGCTGAGGCAGGAGGATTGCAAGTTCCAGGCCAGCCAGGGCAATGTAGTGAGGACCTGTCTCAAAATAAAAAAAATAAAGAAGGCTGGAAATGTAGGTAGCTTAGTGCTAGAGTGCACCTGGGTTCAATCCCCAGTATCTCTCTCTCTCACACACACACACACAAACATACAAAAGAAAAAATTACATAAGGAGAATGTTCTGTAATCACCCAAGCTCATCCACTTACAACTCTGGGTGGTATACACGAACTTCCAGGCAGAGCCTTCCTCTCTGTTTTAGATGCTGGGCACACTCAGCATTCAAGGCATGACAGAAGATAAGTGGTCTCACTATCTCCAGGACCCTTGTGCCCCATGAGGGCCGTGCTGGATCTGATCTGCTCAAGCCCTGCCAGTTGGCTGACACCGGACCCACCTATTTACAGAAAGAACCCTAATCTGATTAGGATTTGGACACCTGGCTCAAGCCGCTTTTGTTTCTGAAATCCTTAAAAAAAAAAAATACTATATGGGTTACAAATTCTTAATAATACATTTTGACAGCCAGGAGAGTTAGATGTTCCCAAATGAAAACTTTAATAAGGAAACAGGAAGTCAGAAATGAAAATAAAATGTGGAAATATGGGGGAAAGACTATTGAGCCAAAGGAAATGTGACCAAAGGAAATATGGCTTCAGATGTCAATGCCAACCTCAGAATTTCTAACTAAAAAGCCAGAGCTTGATCTTAATTTCTGTTTTTTCAGAGAGATGAACTGGAATCAAATTAGAGAAAAATTGCAAGACATTTACTGAAAAAGTCATCACTTTATTAAAAATGTCAATAATTTCATTCACCACTGTTATTACTAGATAAAAATTAAAGCTTGGTGCAGAACTCTATATAATCTGGAAAGGAGCTGGCCATCTCTCATCTCGAGTGTTTTTGTTCCTGCAGTTGGATTTCAACTTATAATTGAGATTCCACATTGAAACAGCTATGAAGTCTGGAAAATTAAATGCTTACTTACCTTCCCCATCAAATGTTCCTTGTCCTTTCAGCATTTTTTTCTAAGAGAAAAGAAAAGGAAGAAAAAAAAAACAGCAAACTATGTATGAATAAGCCAAATAGAAAATACAGCTATTTTAAGTAAAAGTACTCTCTTGTTGCAATCATTAGATTTCCAAAAGCACACAGCAGAAGCAATTTACTCAAATGAGAACTACAGTTCAGTCAAACAGTAGAAGAAATGAATATAATGTCCCCCACACCCCGTCAAAACAGAGGGAGACTCCTCCAAGGACCGGCAGCTCAGCTCATTTCACTACTGGTGATTCACTGTACTGTTGACCAGAACCCTGCTATACTCACACAGTTGGACAACAAAACCCAGAGAAGGCTATGTGATGTCTTTTCCGTAAGACCACGGACTATAAAACAAAACAGGCTTGCTTATGATTACATATGTGACATTTATATAGACTGGGCCCAGTCTATATAAAAATGTGTCTGTCAAAAGGAATCTCCACCCTATTACTGAGATGGGTCTTGTTTCTGGGAAGGCAGCACACACTCCAAAATATTCTTCTCTAGTTTCCCTATGTCTTTACATCCCAGTAGACCCTCCGTTACTAACTGCAACTCCCAGGCCTACATCAGGGAGCAATCCCACACACCCAAATCTCAGGTTTGGGGCTACCCATGTGTTAAATGCACTCAAGGATTCATGAGCTTAAAATAGGAATTAAACACAATTAAAGACAGTAATGACAAAAAAGAGCAACAAAAAGGGTAACAAACTGTGTCTTTCATGGTTTTAGTGATAGACTTTGGAATTCACATTTTAACTGATGTCAAGTATATGGTCACCATCCACAAAACAAGTAAAAGAAGAAAAATAATCAACTATCTCAAAAGAGAATTAGCATTTCCCATTATGGGCTGTGACCGTCACCTCTAAAGGGATACCACATAGCTGGGCCACAGGCAAGAGTAGTACTCCCCACCCTCTTTGGCATTAAAAGGGCTCAGAACTTTGGGGTCAATATTTAATTAGCAGTAATTTTTTTTTTCCTTCCCTCAATTTTTGCCAGAGTTTAAAAAGTGACTGGGCTTCACTTCTACCCACAAAACTGCATGGAACTGCATTCCGTGCCTGCCAGCAGCACAAAGGCAAGCCAAAGATGTGCACAGGTTACCACAGCAGAAACAGAACCGAAAAGGCACGATCACTCTGGTTTCCTCCCACCGACACCTTCACTTTTGGCATGATGAATGACAGAGACGCTCGCCGCTCTTACCTTGATCCTTCCCAGGCTGGAAAACTTCTCCCTGTCTTCCATCACTGCTTTCAAAACAGGCTGGGACATTCTGTTCTTCTTCTTTGAGTTGGTAGGGCTGTCAAAGTCAAAGCCACTGACCACGGCCCTGCGATAGGAGGTGGACCGCAGGCCCCTCCGCAGAGAGCCCGGGCTGTCCACGTCGTTCTCCACCTCGCTCTCCTCCCCCGCGTGGCTCAGGGGCGCTCCGATGCCCTCCACCATGCTGCGCACCTTGAGCAGCCTCTTATGCGGTTCCACGTTCTGACTGTTGGATTTACTTAGTTTAATTTCCGAGGCCAAGCTTTTGGGGATGATCTGCTGCTTACCCACTTTGAGGGCAGCGGGGCTGTTTGTGCTCAAGACCACCGAGGGGTTCTCGGGGAGCTCGTTCTCCTGGGAGGGCAGCCTTTGGAGAGGGAGTTTTTGTTCTGAGGACCTTTTCTGGGGCGCAGGAGAGAGTTTCGAGGGCCCCCGGTCGGGGTCCTTAACTGGCGGACTGGACTGCGAGCCGGAGCCAGGAGAGTTGTGCTTGGGCACATGGCCATTGGAAGTGGGCGAGGGCACTACGCGGGCGCTCCAGCCTGCGGGGCTCCGCTCGAGGCCGGGGCCGGGGGCGCTCGACGTGCGCGGCTGTGGCGCGGGAGAGGCAGCCACGCCATTTGCTGCGGGTTTCGGGTAGCCGCCCGCCGCCGATTTGGGGACCTGGGGCGACTCTGGTCGACGGAGTCGAGGAGAGGCGGCTCTGAGGTCCGGGGAGACCGTCCGCGCCTTCCCGTGGGTGCATGGCTGCAGCGGGCTCCGGGGCGCCGTCCCGCCGGCCGGGACGGGGGGCGCCATGCGTTCCTCCAGCGGGAAGTCGGTGATCAGAAGCCCGCTGGGGCTCTGGTAGGACTGGGGCCTCGGCTTGCTGCGGGCCAGCAGCTGGGGCGGAGGGGTCGAGCGCCTCCGCCACAAAGGGGTCAAGCCGTTGCTGGAAAACTCCACCTCGCTCTCGCCGTCCATGGCGGGGCCTCGCGGTCAGCCCTGGGGGCCGACCCCCGGCTGGGCCGGCCCAAGAAGACACAAACTGCGGAGTTTTTCCTCCAGGCGGCCGGCAGGTCCCGCTGGCGGGCCAGTCCCGGCGCGCGGGGACCCTGCGGAGGCGCGGACGCAGCGCCCACCGCCCTTTCCCGGACGAAAGCGGCGCCCGCCACCGCGCGCCCCCGGGAAAAACCGGCTGCCGCCCAGGCGGAGGGATCCCGTCGCCTCCGCGTCCCTCCCGCGCCCAAGGACCACCCGCACGGAACGCGCCTCCACCAATCGCCGGGATCGAGCCAAGGCACGAGCAACTCGGGGTGAGTTCAGCCTTCTCGAGAAACTCTCCGCGGGACGCTCCCCTCCGCCGCCATCCGGCCGTCCGCTCCCGCCGAGGGTTCCCAGCGTCCAAGCGGCCCGGACTTGCCTTCGGGCACTTGCGGGACCGGGGCCGAGCGGCGACCACCGCTTGGTGGGTGGCCCGAGTCAGGGACCGAGCGCTGCAGCGGCCGCAGCCAGAGCTTCACTGCCGCCGCGGCGCAGGTCCCGCCTCCGAGTTTGGCCCCTCCCCGGGACCGCCCCGCCCCGCCCCGCCCACTCTGTGTCCACCCGGCTCCGCCTGAGTCTTCCGGCCCGCGCGCGCTGCGTCCGCCCGCCACTGGGTAGCCAATGTGCGCACCTGAGCGCGGTGCAGCCGGTGGCTGGGGACGACCAGCAGGTGGCCAGAGGCGGCGCCGGCAGCGGCAGGCAACCAGCAGGAGGGCGGGTCGTGACAGGGAGCACAGAATGAGGACCCACGGGGGCCCTGTTGCGGTGCAGTTCACCGAGCCCTGCGTCGCTCCCAGAGGGTCTCCACGGAGGAAACTTGAACTGACCGCTTAATAGGATTTGTGAAATGAGAGTCTCAGCTTGAAAATCTTGAAAATCGGAGCTCTGGGAGAGCCCTGCCCCTCTTGGCATTCGGATGGACATAGAACACAAATCTGATTCTTTAGCTCCCTGCTTTAAATTCCTTGGCCCATAGACTGATTTGCTTGTTCGCACCCAGAGTAGTTCTGGAGGGACACACACTGGCAGCTGTGGGCAGGGTAACTGGGTGGCGAGGAAACCTGCAGAAGAGAGAGTTTGCATTTACTACTTTTTGGACCTTTCATGCTTTTATCCTTGAAAGTTATCAAGGAAAATTAAACGTAATTTAAAATACAAAGAAGTGTTGGTTTCCAACTGTCTGTACACAGTATAAAATTCAAAATCCACAGATAGAATAAAATAATTATACATAGAATAATATTTGAAATCCTTACCATAGGTTCAGAGGCCCTGCGGGAGCCTACACCTCCAGTCTAGCCTGCCCTGCTCTCTTTCTCTTCCTTCTTTGGCCACACGCACTTAAAACTTGACAGCCTCAGCTCCTTCACTTTTGTTTCCTCTTGTCCTTGTGATTCGGCACTCCATGGCAAAGGCAGGCCTTCCTGATCTTGGGTGACACTGCTGCCCCACTGCCTTCCCAACCACCTGTTTTCTTCCTTTTCCAGATTTAGAGAAATTTATCAATTTACTTATGTGATTATGATTGTCTTATCACTATAATCCACAGAGAGGGCAAGGGCGGCATTTATTTCCCCCTAAGTATTACAGGCACACAGTCTATGCTTCATGAAGGTTTGTTGAATACGTGAATGAATGAATGAATGAATAAGAGGAATGAATTGAGGACACCCACCCACAGTGCTTGGTTGCTGAATAGTAGAGAGTTGGTGGTGTCCTGGCCAAAGGCCTGCTGTGTGAGGACAACAAGGCAAACTTGAGAAGACAAGTGGCTGTAAACCTCAGATCTGTATAATCAGTTCTGTTAACAAGGCTCATGGGCCTGTGTCCAAGTTCTCTCCCAGCATCACCCATTCAGCCTGATGGAGTTGCAGTTATGCTGCTTGTTTCTGCCCAAAAATGTTAGCAGGCAATCCCTACTTCTCCATACTTACCAAAAACTGCACATTGAACACATATTACTTTGATCTGAGACTTTTTTTTTAAAACTAGAAGAAATGGCAAAAAGACATTTAGGAGAAAAATTTTTTTAAAGAAATTCACCAAATATTTTTCTTGAAAGAAATGTGGCTAGTTAGATATTCATATATGGACATTTTTTATTTTTATTTTTTTTAATTTTTAGTTGATTTTTTAAGAATAAATGACAGTGGAATGCATTATGATTCTTATTACACATATACAGCACAATTTTTCATATCTCTGGTTGTATATAAAGTATGTTCACACCAATTTGTGCCTTCATACATGTACTTTGGATAATGATGATGGATACTTTTTTAAATAGAGGATTTTCTAAACCAAATTGTATTAGTTTTACATTGGAAAAATACAGTAAGTTTATTTTTAAAAAATGCTTAACTAATGACAAATGGAGTGTTTAATGCAAATGCATTTTTCAGCTTGGGTTACAAGCTTAAAATGGTGATGTGAGAAACCGGCTGCTATTCAGATTATGTTGGTTCTATAAACAAGTGTCCCTGATGTTTGTGAAGAAATCACAGGGTCTGCCTACCTCCTTCCTGAGCAGCAACACAATGCCCAGCAAAACAGCAACAGTATAAGAATTCAAGTTCTGTTCCCCCTCTAAGGGACATTTGCAAACTCAATCCAAGGCCTATCTTAACCTCCATTCAGTTTGTCAGAGGTTCTCAAACCTCAGACATTTTCATTGGTATGTCCCACAAAGAAAGGAAAGACTTGCTAATTAAACTATGTCTTTGTATGGTTTCATATAGGATCTTCATATTTACTGAAAGAGTGCTTCTACACACACATAGACATAGATACTTTAATAGCATGCATATATAGAAAAGGAAAAGACAAGCAAGATAAACTGATTGTAGTTCTGTACATCAAGCCTAATCCTTTAGAATCCCTTCCCATGCAGAGCATTAGAGAGAGCAGGGAGATAGACACACTGGCAGTTGTGGGCAACTGGGTGACTAGGAAACCTGCAGAAGAGAGAGTTTGCATTTACTAATTTTTGAACCTTTCATGCTTTGATCCTTGAAAGTTATCAAGGAAAATTAAACGTGTGTATATGCATGTTCACACAATATTGTCAATAGTACAGCATTTCTTAAAAGGCTGTTTCAGGCTTGTCTCTGGGATTTTCTTCCAGTTTTTGACAATTATTCCGCAAAACTGATGCCATCACTTTCCTAATTGATTAAAATGTAGTTTTCTTATTCAACTGAATCATGCGTTTCCAAAAGCCACAAAGTCTTTCTATCCATGACCAGGAGGAGGTTCCTAAAAAATTGCAGCTCCGGGCTGGGATTGTAGCTAAGCAGTAGAGCACTCGCCTAATACCTGTGAAACCCTGGGTTCGATCCCTAGCACCACATAAAAATAAATAAGATAAAGGTATTGTATCCAACTACAACTAAAAACATAAATAAATATTTTTTAAAAAATTGCAGCTCCATGCCTTAACCATTAGTCCTGCAGGTACATTAGCTGGCTATCTCAGCCTCTCATCGCTTTAGAGTTCTTTCACCTGATGTGACTCATGTCGAAATTTCTCGTGTTTTCACTGGCATTTTTTGGCATATGCCTTTGATGTATGTAGGATTAAATTGCATAGAATTCAATAGAAATGTTTACAATGCAAGAGTCATCACCATGTTCACAAATACAGATGCAATGCCAGATTTATGGGCACTTCACCTGGCCAAAGGCTATTTGGTCATAAGATACAGAGGTGTTAAAAGGTGGGACTAGATACTCCTTAAAATTGGAAAAATCAAGTGTATTGAATTATTAGGAACATACTGGTGTGTACTTATGGTAATATTTAACTGCTGGAATATCAAATGGCATAATGCATGATATATTGCTTACATTTACAGAATCAATTATATGTCTTGCATAATAATCAGGCTAACTCAAGTGCAATTTGTTAGTCTTATTACCAGTGCTGTTATGTCTCATTCATCTTTTGATTCTTTTATTTTTGTACCTTTTACAAATACTTAGTATATTTAAATGTGAAGCAATGGGCCAGGCCTCCCTAAAGCTTATAACTTGGCTCATTAAACATTTCTGGAATATTAAAATAATGACCTAAGACACTCAACTTGAGTAACACACATGGTTAAGCTGCCAGTTCTGTGGGAGCCTTTGTGATGGGGATAGAGCTGAGCCCAAATATTTCAAGGTGGAAAAGACGAGAAGGGCATCCCAGAGCTAGGTCCCAATGTGAGCAAAACCGTGGGGAGGTTAGTTACTGAGGAACTTACTGACTCCAGCTGTGGGTTAAGCCCACCTATCCACTACCCACGGTTTAATCTCACACTAGTCCTGATCCCACTAAAATATGAAGAAGCCAGCACCTGAAAAGCTCCTCTCACACTATTGGAAGTGGTTGACTCAGAATCCTAACTTGCTTTTCAGATACGACACTCAGAGCCCGGACACTGAGACACATGAGAAGCAGCTTGCTAGAACAAGTTGGCATCAAAGGGCTGTGGGATGTCACTTTTGCTGAACATGGTGACACTACATTGTGTTGTAGGACACAGACAAAAGTATCTGGATTCTGCCTGGATAACATCTGGCACTCCCCGAAGGGTTTTCAACTTTGCTGTTCTTTAGAAATTGAATCTGATGGCACCAGCATCAGAGATTTTAAAAAACAAGATTGACAGATTTGACAATTTTAAAATATAACCATTATGCAAGAATGTACAAAAGCACACAAATTTGAGGGTTATTTCTTAAAGAGAAATTAGAGAAAAAGTTTATATAGATATTAAAAATGATAGAAAATAATTAATAGGTATTTCAACATAAATATGTATGTTCAAATCAATAAGGTAAAGATAATAATGAAACTGAGCCAAATGTGGAAAATTGTTTTGAGGAGACACAACTCTCCACTCATCAAAATATCCTCAACCTCAACAATTAGCAAAATCAAAAAGTAACCAGATGAG